CAACAAAGTCAATTTAATTTTGCCGCGCTTTCGTAATTCATTATGCCATCTTTAATGACTATTTAGACTACAAGTTAGAATACAAATATTTTAAGCTTAATTCGGATTTTATTTTGTGAAAAAACAACGAAATAACTCATCATGAGATCTCTAACGAAGCATTTATTCAAAATTCATGCATAATTTTCTATAAAATAACTTTCAATTTCAACAATTAAAAACTTTGAACTGGCACAATTAAAAAAACAATTTCGCAAAGCTCTCTCTGTCAAGAGAGAAACAAGCATTTAAGCTAACTTTTCAATTACATTTAGCTGTAATTACTGTTCATCTCACAGTTGTATTGATGAAATTGATTAAAATTCTTTCCATTTAGATGATTGTGGTTTCCTTTAAAATAGAATTTTATTTCAAACGTTCTGAAAAACACAATAAACAACGTGCTTTGTCTTGATAAAGGCTAATCCTTTGGGTATCGTTGAAAACAGATCTACTGCGTGCCTCTTGATCGGCTAAGAAAATATATCGCCTTTAAGATTTTCAGCTTTCGGTATTTTTTCTTTGCAGAATTACGTTTCAAATAGAATTTAATTTTTCAGAAATACTATATCGTAAAAGGCAAAGAAATTTTCGAACTTTAAATGCCATAAAAAATGCACGATTGAAGTCATTTTTAAAGATAGATCCACTACATAAAACGCAATTTTTTATCCTAAAAACTAGTTGGAGATTGAGAGAAAGAGAGAGAGAGTGATTAAGAAAGAGAGAGAGTGATTGGGAAAGAGAGAGAAAGAATAACAAAACAAGAAAGAGAATGTAAGATAAAAAAAGAGATTAAAAGCACACACATTTCAGTATCAATTTAACGCCTATTTATTTATACGAAAGAACGTAAATACAGGCAAAACGTGTAAGGATATAGAATTGCTAACAGTAAATCTGTTTAAACATAACTGCACTATACTGTTTAAATGATTGAGATAATAATTATTTCATCAGTCTTAAGTTTTTATTATTTTGGGATAAAATCAAGAGGATTTGTTATATCCTCGTTTGTAATGACGTAAATCATAATCATTGCGTTGACATAGTGTGAAAAAAGCGAACTTTCCAACGGTTATATCGGCGTAGGTTTTAAATTAAATCCTGATGAGACTAGGATTTTTTTTTCAAAATATCAAAAAGTTTTTCTAGCTTTTAAGAGAAAACACTGACACAATTGAAACTTGATGGAACTTATGGACAATATGAAGGATATAATATATATTCAATCGTTTTAACGTTTCTTAAAGAAATTGAAATTACTAATGCTCATTAAAAAAAAAATCTGGTAGTTTAGTACAATTTTAACGTGTGTGGTGATTAGTAACCGTTAATCGATATTTATTTAGAAATTGTAAGATGCGGTCTGGTGTGATGTAGGTTTCAGAAAAACATTTTCTTTATCGTGCCGACGTTTCGATCTTTATTGAGATCATCTTCAGGGCGTGTTTGTCTTCTGTGTAATTGTGCCATTCTTGCGTGTCGTGTCGAGAGTGTCACAACAGACCGCATCTCACAATTTCTAAATAAATACAATTTTAACGTTTATTTATAGAAAAATGTCTGAAAACTCGTCACATTCATAATTTTTCCTATCTCCAAAAACTCTAGTATGTTTTATATTATATTTCTCTGTCTAATATTTTTACATTTTTGAAGTCAAAATTGTGGTTTTTGTTTTCGCTACGTAAAGATAGTCCTATATTTTTTTTAAATTTTAAATCATTACTATGCCACTTTATGATATAAAAAATTATTTTAAAAAATTATTTGGATCAAAATTCGCAAAATTGTAATTTTTTAATAAAAACACCTTCAAATTATGCAAACCGAAAAGAAATTTTTCATTCATTTATTTTATTTTATTTTTTTGTCAAACTAGATCATATTATATAGACAGGTATCGCTACTACCAGAGATAATTAATATTTCATCAGTCTTAGGTTTTTATTATTTTAGAATCAAATCAAGATGATTTGTGATATCCTCATTTGTAATGACGTAAATTATAATCATTTTGTTGACAGGCTAAAGAAGAGAAGTTTAACTCTTGCCAACGGTTGTATAGGGTGTCCTTTAAATCCTAATGAGTTTATGATTTTTTTCCTTCAAAATATCACAAAAATATCCCTTGCTTTTAAAAGAAACCACTGACACACTTAAAACCTGATGGGACTTTTGGACAATTTGAAGGCTGTAATCTATATTCAGAAATGGAAATTACTATTGCCCGTTAAAAAAAATCATGTCTTGTAATTTAGTACAATTTTGATGTTCATTTATGGAAAAATGTCTGAAAACTTGCCCTTTCATCATTCTTCCTATCTCCAAAAACTCTCCAATTTTTTATTTTATATTTCTCTGTCTAATATTTTTATATTTTTGAAGTCAAAATTGTGGTTTTGTTTTCACTACGTAAATATAGTCCTATGTTTTTTTTTATTTTATATCATTACTATGCTACTTTATAATATAAACAATTATTTTAAAAAATTATTTGGTTCAAATTTTGCAAAATCGAAATTTTTATGGTAAAAACATCTTCAAATTAGACAAAACAAAAAAACAAATTTCCATTTAGAAATGTGTGGTGAGTAGTGACCGTTAATATATAATTATTCAGATATCGTGAGATGCGGTCTGGTGTGATGTAGGTTTCAGAAAAAAATTTTCTTTATTGTGCCGACGTTTCGATCTTTATGGAGATCGTCTTCAGGGCCTGGGATTTACGAACACAAATCACCACACAAATTGAATCATTATATATATTTTTTTTCACCTCCTACATGTATTTATAAAATTGAAACAATGTTTATAAATCCCAGGCCCTGAAGATGATCTCAATAAAGTTCGAAACGTCGGCACGATAAAGAAAAGTGTTTCTAAAACCGATGTTACGCCAGACCGCATCTCACGATATCCGAATAATCAGTAAAAACCTGATGAAATTATTCTACAAGAACAATATTTCATTAACGCAGCAAAATTGAAAATCCCTGGAATAGTTTAACTGGGTAAATTGAATTAAGTGAATTATATTCTCTTAAGCAGTACTGTTTAACTATCTTCTTGATCCTAAGTCGAAACCAAGTGCAACGAACCGTAAGTCGTCGGGTAACATTTTAGTAAGCAATCGGCATTGGTTAAGCTGAGTGATGACGTCCGAAAAGTGATAGTGACATGGTAATCCTTCTTCAAAAGTTGGCTTCCGTTGGATTTTCCTTAACAATACTTTGATCAATCGATTTGTGTCTTTCCTAGCAGGACGAAAGCAGTTTGACTCTAAAATATTTTTTTTAAAGAATATTGAACTGTATCTATAACCAAATTATATTTTGAGTTGTATAAATTCACTTTTTTCCACATATTACATGTATTTGTTAAATGTAAACAATTTTTGTAAATCCCAGGCCCTGACGATGATCTCAATAAAGGTCGAAAATTTGGCACGATAAAGAAAATATTTTTCTGAAATAATTTCCACTTATTTTTTTTTCAAACTAGATCAAATTGTATAGACGGGTATCGTTACTGCCAGAGATAATTAATATTTAATCAGTCTTATGTTTTTATTATTTTGGAATCAAATCAAAAGGATTTTTGATGTCCTTACTTGTAATGGCGTAAATTAAAATCATTGTGTTGACATAGACTGAAAGAAGAGAATTTTAACTTTTTGTATTGGTTTTAAATTAAATCCTGATGAGTCTATGATTTTTTCTTCAAAATGTCACAAAAATATTCTTCTCTTTGAAAAGAAACCACTGACACACTTGAAATTTGATAGGACTTTTGGACAATATGAAGGCTATAATCTATATTCAATAATTTTCAATCAAGTCTCGTAAAAGAAATGGAAATTACTATTGCCTATTAAAAAAAATCATGTCTTGCAATTTAGTACAAGTTTGATGTTCATTTATAGAAAAATGTCTGAAAACTAGCCCGTTTCATAAATCATCCATGTAAAATGTTTGTGAAAAAGTCAACTTAGTCGTAAAAAGAAATAAAAAAAATTATATTTTAAAATCTGGGCGTTCTTGTTTAAGAAACGATTTGATTAAGAAGACTTCTACACATAAATGACCTTTTGAACTTTTTTTTCAGTTTACTAAACGAATTGTTAAGAAAAAAACAGGAAGAAAAATAGTCTAAATCCTCGAGTAGTAAAACTGTAAAACTAATTTCAATTAATTAATCTTTATGTAAGGTATTGATTGAAATGAAAAAGTCAATGGCACGAGCGGGATTCGAACCCACGACCTTCGGCTTGATACGTCGCTGCTCTACCACTTGAGCTATCGTGACTTCGATCCACTCGGACACCAAACTTCCCATCACACACACACACCTTTCGAATTTTCCCTCCTTTTTGCCATTTTTCAAATGTCGTGTAATTTGAAGTTATTTGATCAATCGGACCACGAAACATAATGGATGTAAAACTAACATAAAACATAATTATTGTTTAAGATATAACACCGATGAGCTTTTAAAGGTTCTATGAAATTTTAAAAAATTAAACCCATACATTTTGTACAGTAACATTTCGCGTTCAGTAAACCATGACACAAAAATATAATAAACCACTTTTCCACGGTAATCTATCAATCTCTTATGAAGAGGGCATTGCTTCTCTTCCGGTAAAATTATGCGCATTAGTTTATCCTGGCTCGTTATTGTGTGTTAATAATAAATAAATTTATATTTGTATGCATGGGAGATTTTAGCAAGGAAAACAGTTCATTATATATTTTTATATGCAAATGTTTGCTTGAAAATTAACCTGTTTTGATTGATTAATATTGTAACTATCAACACGTGTGTTTTGTTTTTATTGTAAAAATAATCCTAGAACTAATTAGTAACAAGCGTAACATTCATGAAAGTACATTATTTTTATATAATAATCTTTTTAAAGATGTTAAAGAAATAGAATTATGCTGGATTAACCTTACCTTTTATGATAGGCGTTTCTCTGGCTTTATTGATTAATTACACCACTAAGCACTATACCAAATATTATAACGTTTTACATTTTACACGCGATCGTTATCTCTTGCTCGTATTGTAGTTTAATCCATGACAAATAAAGGCAGACTGAAAACGCAAACCGGTTGGACTTTGCATTGTAACTAGAAGAAGATTGTACTCTGGGAGAAATTGGCTGTTTGGAGATTAATTTTGGATTCGAAAACAGTCCGTGTTTATCCACGTCTACAAGCAGCATAATGCGTCTTGAATTGTCAAAGTACGACTAAAGTTTCACTATTTACATTCAATATTCATTAATGGAACAACTTTGACGATTCGAAACAAAAAGAAGAGGGTAGAGCCTGAAAGTGGCACGCGATTCTTGTGTATATTTTATTTACAATGTCAAGAAATATAAATAACTAGAGAGAAAAATTCCGCCCCCTTATCAGATCGTTCTATTATTGTATCGTCATAAATAAAAACCACACGTTAAATCAATTTACAACGCAAATTGATAACATTTTTATTTTTAATTGGGATAATTTAAAACAATATTTCATTATTATTCAGAAATCGTGAGATGCGGTCTGGTATGATGTGGGTTACAGAAAAACATTTTCTTTATCGTGCCAACGTTTCGATCTTTATTGAGATCATCTTCAGGGCTCAAAGTGTTTCTCTTCTGTGTAATTGTGCCATGCTTGCGCGTCGTCGGCACTCTCAACACGACACACAAGAATGCAAGAATGGCACAATTACACAGAAGACAAACAATTTGAGCCCTGAAGATGATCTCAATAAAGATCGAAACGTTGGCACGATAAAGAAAATGTTTTTCTGAAACCTGTATATAAGTAGTTTTTTTGCATTTTATAAATTCACTTTTTTCCACATCCTACATGTATATGTTAAATTTAAACAATGTTTGTAAATCCCAGGCCCGGAAGACGATGTCAATAAGGATCGAAACGTTGGCACGATAAAGAAAATGTTTTTCTGAAACCTACATCACACCAGACTGCTTCTCACGAATTCTGAATAATCATCGATTAACGGTCACTAATCACCACACACTTTTTGGTTGAGATGAACTTTTTCGTCTTGCTTGAGATGAAAAAGTTAGTGTCACGAGCGGGATTCGAACCCACCACCTTCGGCTTCGGCTTGAATCACTCGCTCGTGACACTAATTTTTTCATCTCAAGCAAGACCTTACATAAAATGAATAATTAATTGTAATTAGAAGTAGAGTTTAATTTGTTTTCAAAGGCTGCCTTGTAAAACTTTGAATTTAATATTTGGTAAAAAAACCTAAATCTTCCAAAAATTGCAAACTTTTAAATTTGTAAAAAAAATATACTTTGCAACCTCACTGTAAAAAATTACGGTATGGCTTGGCAATTTTCAATTCAACTTCTTCGTAATTACATCGAACCAAAATGCTGAAATTTTATGCTAAATGAGAAAAAAGTGATGACAGTGTGAAGAAAGAAGAATGGGGTTAATCTAGTAACACGACATTTTGGGCAAAATTTATTTTCTTACTTTAACTTAATAAAAAATCACAAAAGGAAAGAAAACACATACGACAGAGTCAATAAACATACCAAACAACCAAGGTAGAAAATTTGAACAAAATAACTACACTAAACACAGTCCAAAAAATAACAATATAGAAGTTCGGATATGCAACTTTAACCTAATAAAAAAGAACAAAAAAAAAAACTTCAATGTAATTCAATCACTTTGTTTATTGCCCCGTTTTTATGTGTTTTGTTTGATTTTCCTTTTAATTTTGGAGCTTTTGTTCAATATTATATTATAAGGTCTTAGTTGAGATGGAAAAGTTCGATCCTTAAAAAAAAAGATTTTTAAAAAAGGAAAAGATCGTGTCATGAGCGGGATTCGAACCCACGACCTTCAGCTAAATTCGCTGCAGCTATACCACTTGACCTATCGGGACTTCGGTCCACTCGGACACCAACTGCCCATCTGAACCTAATCTTTTTGCCATTTTTCATATGTCGTGTAATCTGTTCTATTGAAAAATGGCAAAAAGGAGGGAAAAGTCGAAAGATGGGTTGTGATGAGAAGTTGGTCTAGGTTCGAATCCCGTTCGTGACACTGACTTTTTTATCTCAACCAATACCTTACATAAAGAATAATTAATTGAAAATAGTTATTTGGTCAATCGGACCACTAACTCTAATGGATTATATTATAAGTCGTTCAGGATTTCATCTTTAATGTTGATTTTTATTATTAGAAATTTACTAAAATTGTCCCTCACCCAATTAAATCTTATACGAACAACAGTCATTTGCACAGTAAAATAATTAATATACAAGCAATGTAATCACAATAAATAAAGCAAAATCAAAGGTTGAAATAAATTGCTGATTTTTTTTCAACGTTGATAAAGTTTTTCAGTATTGAAGAAAAAAAGGGTGGTCTTGTTGGAGAAGAGTGAAGCCTAAATATCTTATCGAAACCTATACTAACTCCTTCCAGTTGAAGAAAAAAATTATCTCTTATCATTTCATGTTTTAATCTAATAAACAAATTGATTTCTCTTCTCCCTAAATCAATTTTATGAAGACCCTAACTTTCAAAAATTAATTAATATTTTTATGTGAAAAATTTAAATTTATTTTATAGAATGATGAATATGATGATTTCATAATTCCAATATTAAATTTTGTATTTTTGCATTGGATTTTTAAATCTTATATGTACGATATTTTTTTTTTTTATTGGTCGGATGTTAGTATATCCTAATTCGATTCGAATGTAATTTGGCGGAAGATCGCAGCCCGGAAATGATCTGTAATGACTGTTGACAACGTTGGCACGATAAAGAAAATGTTTTTCTGAAACCTAAATCACACCAGACCGCATCTCACGATTTCCGAATAATTATCGATTAACGGTCACTAATCATCACACAATATTTCATTCTTGACCACATTTGGAAACTATTTAACAATACTTAGATTTTTTTAAAAATGATTACTGGTTTATATAAGCATACGTACGTACACGCTTTTACAGAGGTGAACGTATCACTTCTCACAGTCCACTATCAATTCCTGGTTTGTAATTTATAATAAAATAAGGAAGGTTTCGATAATCACCCACCAAAAGTGTTGGCAGTCCGGATCAGACCTTGGTTAACCACGAGTTATCAACAGTTAGGTCCTTTCAGCACCCAATGCAATCAGTTTCTAAATCTGGGTACCTTAAGGTATAAACCTTTCACCGGAGAGAAGCTCTCTCCGGCGCGGAACTTTAAATACCTCATACTCGTTGAAGCACATGGAAAATCCAAATACAAACAAAAAACCGGGGGAACCAGTAAAGGAAAATCTCATGGAGTAGAAGGACCTTCTTCATTTTAGGCTAACGTAGAGCTCCGGGATAATCTCTGGTCTTCAAGAAAATAGGAGATATAAAAATTGAAGACAAAACCACTCAAATGGGTCTAACAGACAAGATTAGCAAACTAAACCACAAACCCAAAAAGATTTCGGTCGTTCAGAAGCGTAAATTAAAATAAAGCGCGCAAAACAAAAGGGGGAGCCCATCCTGAAAGCAATTAGCAAAGGAAAACAAAACCTTGAACGCGCAAACTTCCAAAGTCCAGCATCAAGCACTGGAATCGCAGCCCCTAAAACCAGGGCCGACGCCAACCAATGGTTGTAAAAGAAACACCTGTTCACTGGGTAGCACCCCATTAAGTGGAAGTGTTCCCAGAACATATTAAAAAAAAAGAAAAATAAAGGGAAGCGATGTGAACCAAACCAGCTCCCTATCTAGTTGCTGGGGAGGATAGCAAAACATGCAAGCCCTGAAACCGTTAAAAATGGCCGTGGTGTTTGAAGGATATCCAAGCCAAGAAATAACAGAAGATCGACTGGAAAAGGCCAAAAACTTGAAAACTTACGAAAATAGGTCCTATTTAAGATACAACATTAGATATGGAAGATAAGTACATCGATATATTTTGATCGATATAAATACGGACAGTTTGGGAAATAGGGATTTTTAAATATATGAAGTGTTTTTGTTGTGCTTTGTTATGTACATTTATAAAAATGAATGTAATTTATTAGCGTGAAAGTTATTTAACTCCGCCCTGAGGTATATCAAGCACTCTGGGGAGAGTGTGCGACGTCTGCAGGGTGAAAGTCAGTTATTAGCCAGAATGGGGTGGATTTGATCCCGTCCCGAGGAATTTCGAGTACTCTCGGGGTGTGAATGTGACCAGACTTCTATGTTTTTATCGGGTGTTTTGTTTATGTTAATTTATCGGAATGGACGAAATTTATTAGCGTGAAAGGAAGAGGTTGCTTGACCTCGCTCTAAGATAAATCGTGTAATCTGGGATGAGTGTATTGACTACTGGAGAGTAAAAGTATCTATTAGCGAGAATGTAGTGGGTTCGACCCAGCCCCGAGGAATATCGAGTACTCAAGGGTGAGCGTGTGACCTTTGGAGGGGAAAAGTAACTTATTAGAGAAAATGTAGTGGCTTCGACCCAGCCCCAAAGAATATCGAGTACTTTGTGATCAGTAGGTCAGGTTGAAGAGAAAAAGCAACTTACAAGCAACAATGGAGTGGGTCTGACCCTTCTCTGCAGAATATCGAGTTCTCTCGGGGTGTGAATGCAACCCGACTTCTATGTTTATATCGGGTGTTTTGTTTATGTTAATTTATTGGAATGGACAAAATTTATTAGCGTGATATGAAGGGGTGGCTTAACCCCGCTCTAAGATAACTCGTGTACTCTGGGGTGAGTGTATTGACTACTGGAGAGTAAAAGTATCTATTAGCGAGAATGTAGTGGGTTCGACCCAGCCCCGAGGAAAATCGAGTACTCAGGGGTGAGCGTGTGATGCATGGAGAGGAAAAGTAACTTATTAGCGGGAATGGAGTAGGTTTAACCCCGGCACGAGGAATATCGAGTATTCTGGGTTGTGAAAGTAACTCGGGGTAGTGTGATGTTTACTATCGGATGGTGATGTATAATGTGTGTTGTATGTTTTGTGTCTATTCTGTAGTTCACAACCTGTGGTAGGAAAGGCTAGAAGTTTAAAATATCGACTTAGTTTACGACACAGAGTATCGAGTCGCTTAAATGGC